CATATAAGAAAAGATAACCGATACCTTTTTATGCCATTCATTCATTGAACAAATATCTATTAAACACCTTGATCACAGAGTGACTGCCCTCCTCCTTCAGCTTAGATGCTACCCCCGAGCACAGCTTGACAAGGGAAGGGAATTCATCAAGCAAACTTTTATCCCTCTCCTAAAAGGATAGATAACCCTGGTTAAAAGGCACAGGATCCTATAATTAGCCAAATTCTTCTCCGTCCTTTTGTTTTACTCCAGAGCCCCAGTGGCTGGGGACTAACAGGAGAGGAAATAGATGGCAGCAGCTCTGTGCCGGGGCGGGTGAGCCTGTGAATTGCACCCATCTGTTTGAAGTGGGAGACTGTTCAGGTTCCTTCACAGCAAGCATTGTGCCTCTGAGCAGGGGGAGGGGCTGGAGCGCCCACCTGATGGGTGAAGCTCCCATAAATAACAACGTCATTTCCCCCAGAAGGGAAAACAAATTATGAATTCAGAAATTCATCGTTAACCTGTTTTAATTGTTGCCTAATGCTTTTTAGATCTGCGCGGGCCCTGAAGAAAATCAACTCTGAAACGGCGTAATTAGGGCATCTTTCATAGTCGTAAATGCTAATCCCACTGGAGAGCAGATTAAGAATTCATAGGCATGAATTTCTGGCATCAGATACCTGCAGTTCCTTTTCTTTTTGAATAATTCATTATTTAAATACTTCAACGCATATTGTATACAGCCCTGCATGTTGTGTCAGGGGCAAAGGAGGGTAAGAGATTAATTTCACATACATTTCAACTCTAAACACATTTAAGGCTCATTTATGGTGATTGGGTGTCATCGGTTTGCAGTTGCTAACAATGTAATAGTTTTAGTTAGTCACCCCAGGGACCAATTTAGGGAAATTAAATAGATCTTCTTTAGGACATTAATAAGGTCACAGATCTAACTTTCATAGTTGGCTGAGTTACTTGGTTTAAGGGGAGAAAAGAGTAGCAGATTCAGGAGGTTGTTTCCACGAAAACTGATGATTATTTGCCGTAAATATGGCTGAAGTCAGTGCCTCCCCATCCGTGGCTGTGAATGCTTTATGACAAAATAGACAGAAAGTGACAAGCGAAGTCCCACAGTGGACGTTTGTCCTCAGGACGCTCCCCATCAGCGGACGTAGCCCTACTGCAGCCATCCTTCCAGACGCGATGCCGTTCCGCTCGTCCACGAAGCCTCTCAGGGTGGCCTTCACACGGGTGCAGTTCTCTGACAGGAGCACTCGTGTGCTCTGTGGAGCTCCTCTCACAGCGTCTGTCCCGCTGCGGGACAGTGGACTCCTCATGGTCCCCCCAGAGTGTCCCTTTCGTCTTTGTATTTCTAGTGCCTTACACGGTACCAGGCACACGGGCACATCACACGTTTGTTTAAAAACATCCTTGGATTTCCAAGGATAAGCCCTAACTCTGTGGGTTGCAAGTGACAGAAACCCAAATCTAATAACTTAAGCCAAAAGGAGAACTTATGATAAAGATACCAGAGTCTCACAGAACCCACGGGCTGGATGAGGCTGGCCAGGATCCAGGGCTCCAGCACCATCAGGCTCTCCCTTTTCTGGCCTCGGCCTCTCTCTGTGACAGCTTCCAACCTAGTGCAGGGAACAGAGCCACCAGCAGTGCCTGAGTGCTCCAACTCACCCAGCCACCCCCTCTTGCTTGGTTCCAGGACCAAGATTTCCTAGGATACACTCCAATTGGCCCATTTGGGCCAGGTGCCCACCTCAGAACCAATCAACTGGGGCCTCCTTATTAAGGTTCTCCAGAATGGAGTCTGGGCCCATTTTGGTTGGTGCCCACCCCCAGGGCAAATCAACTGAAAGCCCATATTAGGATCCTCTGGGATGGATTCTGAGGAACCCTGGTGGCACAGTGGTTAAGCACTTGGCTGCTAATCAAAAGGTCTGTGGTTTAAACCCACCAGCCACTCCAGGGGAGAAAGATGTGGCAGTCTGCTTCCGCAAAGACTTACAGCCTTGGAAACCCCATGGGGCAGTTATACTCTGTCCTGTAGGGTTGCTGTGAGTCGGAATGGACTTTATGGCAATGGGTTTTGGGATGGATTCTGACTGGCCCATTTGGGGCAGGGGCCCACCCGAGAACCAGTCACCTGGGGTCCCGTATTAGGGTCCTCTGGGAAGGATTCTGACTGGCCCATTTGGGCTGGGGGTCCAGCCCAGGGGATCAGTGAGGTCAGGGACAAGGAGTTCTTGTGGAACAGGACAGCTGTATGGGAACCATATAGGTGAGTTTGGGGTGATGGTGGGGAGTTCCCAGAAGAACAGGGCTCTGGGCAGACAAAATGTGTTCCGCGTCCCTGAGCAATAAGGCTGATTAGATACGTCACACTGCCTGACGCCATTCCTGTGGCCGTCAGCATGACTGACGTAGCTCAGTCTGGGCCTGGCACTTCCTCCTTCCACTGTATTTGTTGGCACCAGGCATTAAAAAACTATATCTGAATAATTTAAAAACTATACACTTTATACAGCAGTTTCACACGCGCTAACTACCTAACACAATTTTCACAACAGTCTCCTCAGGCGGACGCCCTCTCTGTTTTGCGTGTGAGAAAGTCAAGGCTGGTAACCTCCCCCAGTCTGCTAATGGCTGAGGGCGTCCTGGTTTCAGGCCCTCTGACTTCCAGTTCAGTTCTTGTTTCTCCTTAGCAATCTGCCTCCTTTATTATTTAATAATGTGTCTGCCGACTTACTGTTTTAAAGTCTTTGGGGATGATGACGTAGCACTTATGGAGCGTATACCTGGTGTCAGGCTCTGTCCCAAGCCCTTGTACCAACCCTCTCAGTCTTCCCAGCAGCCCAGCGAGGTAGGCATTACTGCTATCTTATTAAACAGATGGGGAAACTGAGGCAATGGTAGGTTTGCCATGTGCCCAAGGCTGCACAGCCAACACCGTAGTTTCCAGAGCAACCCGAGGGGGGCTGACCTGGAGACCTGTGCTGCAGGGCCGCACACAACTGGACAGAGGTGGTTGCGTGCCCCTCAGTGGAGACCTGTGGCCCTGCTGTGAGTGAGGAGCACTGGTTCCAAGGCTGGGTGGCAGGATGTGGGCCCCCACCCCAACTTCTGGGACAAGAAAGGCTTTATTTGGATGCACGGGTTCCTCTTCACCTTTCCTGAGGAGGGCCTGCCCAGGGCTAGATGCAGGCAGTGGAGCAGATATTCTCTTTCTTTGATGTATTTGTTTGATTTTTATTTCTTTATTGCCAGAATTTCTTTCCTGACTCTCTTTATGTTGGGTCTTCAAAACCTAAGCTAGAGGTTTGTGGCGGAGCTCACAGAGAGAGTATCCACGTTTGCCTCTCAGGCTTGCATCTCTGTTGTGTTGGCATTTCTGGGGAACCATGGTGGCCATCAGTTGGGTCTTGACATTGTCACTGACATCCTTGGGAAAACCACAGGTAGAACTGGGTGGCGTTCTGTTTAAGGAATGTGCGTTTGAGAACTACCATTAACTCCAACCCACTGTGTGTTCTTGGGCAGACATTATATCTCTGTGGGTCTGTTTTCTTAACACTCGAATGAGAACGTTGGCCTAAATTATCTGTGAAGGCTTTCCAACCCCTGCTTTGTTTTAATTCTCAGCTTCAACATTTATGTTGCCTCTGAAGGTGGGAGTTTAGCATTCCACCCCCCTTGCAGGAGGGAGGGGCAGGTCTGGTCTGGGACCTAAGACTGTAGGAAAGACACTGAGAATCGAATCACTTCTTCATTGTAGGCTTCCAGAGCGTCACTGTGGGGGGGGGGGTGAATTATTCAAGGGGACGTCATTGCCAAAGGCCAAGAGAAGTAACTTGAGGAGACAAGCCCGTGTCTGGACTTAGAACACAGCCACGGTGCTTGTCATCTGCTTCCTCCCTCGAGCCAAGACTTGTAGTTTTCACCACAAATTACTGGCTTAATAAAAATGATACCAAATCAGGAAATGTAACAGTGGAGAGTGTATCATACATTTGCGTTTCTAAATGGTTTGAAATGTGGAATCCATTAATTTTCAGCATCACGTACCTCTCCACTACTTCATAGACTGCGTGTACAGAGACAGCCCTGCACAAAGGAATTTGGGCAGAAAACATGCAACTATGCTTTGAAAGTGATGCCTTATATGACATTGCCCCGTGCTGCTATTTCGTCAGTATTTGGGCCCCTTGGTCCTCACAATCACCCTGCGAAGTGGCAGGTAGGGTATGATCATTCCAGTTCTTCTCATGGGGAAACTGAGGCTCAACATGGAGAGGCGACTTGGCGTGGTGGAGCTGGGCTTGGGGCCCTGCCCTCAGTCAATGCACTGTTTTCCCCCATGACACACAGGGCTTCCTAACAGAGCGCTGCTTTTCTAACGCTCACTTGCAGTCTGGCTGCTTCTGTGCCGGGAGGTCTCACGTTCGCTGGAATGCGTGTCTTATCTTCCCCAGGACTCAGGACACTGTTTGTGTCGGTAGGCAGTCTGCGCTTGTTCCTTTCCTCCTGGCAAGCAGGAATTCTACAAAACAGCAATTATCACTCTTGGTTCCTTTGTACAGAGCCCTGTAAATAATTTAGTTGGGTTTGAGGGGCCAGAGACTGAAAAACATATTGAACCTTGCTGTAACTGGGTGAATTTGGCATTCAGAACTTGAACGCGGCGAGAAAGAGAAGCGTTTCTTTGAAACCAGAGAAGACAGACATCCAGTTATCCGAGAGCACAGGGTGAGCGCTGGAGATGGACGGACAACAGCAGAAGGAGTGTTTTTGTGGCACCTAGAAGTCACCCATGAAGTTTGCACGTCCACATTCCTTACGTATTGTAACCAAGAGTTTGGGACACCCAGCTCTGGAGTGGAAAACGCTGGCAGAGGTCTGCGCTGGGGCGGCTCCCAAGTCCCTCCTGCCGCACTCAATACCTGGTCTGAACAAAGAAAATTGTGTTTGCCGGGCTTGTGAGCTGGAGTCACAAGATTCCGAGTATCATGCGGCACTCTGGAATTCCTACTAAAACCCATCAGAAGGGGTTTGCTGCCTGCCATGTGGATACTCCGGCACATCAGACTTTTCAGATAAAAACATTTAGTACAGAGTTGAAAAGCCATGTGATGGTCATGGATTTTGTGAAGAGTAACTGGTTTCCCTCCCCGAGAAGAGCTAAAGTGTGTATGATCCGCATGTGCCCAGGTCTGAAGACGGAGGAGCAGACGGCCGGCAGATACGAGGTACGGTCAAAGGTTGGCGGGGAGCTGCAGGTGCACCTGACTCAGAGAGAAATGGAGGCGCTGCTCGCCAGACCAGGCAGCTCAGGTGTTCTCTCTGGTCTGATAAATTAATCACATCTGCTGATAGCTTTTCCCAAGGGATTTGGAAACGACTTTTTCATCTCTTAATTTATTTTAGCTCTTGAAATGCGTGGGTGCGTATTAACCCAAACCAAACCCGTTGCCGTTGAGCTGATTCCGACTCCTAGCGACCCTATAGGACAGAGTAGAACTGCCCCACAGGGTTTCCAAGGCTGTAATCTTTTTTTTTTTTAATTGTGCTTTAGGTGAAAGTTTACAGAGCAAATTAATTTCTCATTCAAACCAAGGCTGTAATCTTTGTGGAAGCAGACTGCCACATCTTTCTCCCAAGGAGTGGCTGATGCATTTGAACCCCTGATCTTTCGGTTAGCAGCTGAGCACTTAACCACTGGGCCACCAGGGCTCCTTGGGGGCATATTAGGTAAATGCTATTTACACAAGACACACATCTTCACTCACAGGACTACTGGCTTGGATAATTTATGTCCACTTATAGAGACTGCATTACATTTCTGTGAGTTAACTTTCTCAGCTCTGTAAGTTTGCAGTCCTCTGTCTGCAAAAACCAATTCCTGTTTGTTTCCAGAATATACGTGACTTTTCCTGATGGAGTTAAAACAGAGCAATTAAATTAGGCCAATGAGAATGGTCTTGTTCATTTGAGGGTGAGCACTAGTTTTTAAGCAGAAGCTATTTTGTGAAAACAGGGAGAACTTCAGAGATTTAAAATGTCAAAGTGAGATAAACACATTATTCTGAGAAATATTTGTCTTCCCCAGCTAGTACAAGCCACACGCAGTTATCTTCCGGAAAGTAAACACTCGTGAAACCCTAACACTCTTTACTGTATGCAGAATGACTATGAGCAGCACTGTAGCAGACTCCCATAGAGCTCGCCTCCCCATCCCTTTTAATACATGTAACACACAGATTGCTAATGCTTTATAAACTGGCAACCTTCCGATGCTGTTATTCCCAAAGTCTTCCAGTGGGTGCTGGCAGATATTCCACATCTTTTGTTCCCGCACTGGGCATTAGGACACATCAGGATGTGAAAGGAACAGGTTCTGCAGGGTTCAAGGCTGCCTTCTCCCAGTTTCAGCCCTGGGATTTTGAATTTCCATGTCCACAACTGAGAAGTAAAGGCCTCAGAAGTAATGGTGTTAATTAAATTCAGTAACCGTTGTTCCTTACTTCATTGCCAAATCAGCCAGAGCAAAAGGTGTGCAATTAGAATATAATTGAAAGAAACCAGAGATGTTATTCACAAGTAATTAATCAGATGGGGACAGAATTTTATCATTGCTTAATTTTCATTGAGGTTATTTTTTAGTCCTCCAGAGAGAGAAAAACTTGTTGAATTATATTATCTCATATTTTACAAAAGTCATCACGGCTCCATGTTAAACCCTGCGTGGTGCACAGCGACTCTTGCATTCCCAGATTGGTTGGTTTGTTTTTCCCACATAAAACTTCGTGTATTTCTATGGCCAGACTGAAGATAACAAAGTGAAAAAAGCGTGTCTTAGCAGGGCATTATAAAAAACTTCAAATATACAGTCAGTCACAACCACAAGCTTTTTTGTGTGCATGTGGCCCAACCCCCACCAGCAGTTACAGCCAACAACTGAGGTTGTGTGTTTGCTGCTTGAACTTAACCCGGAGTCGAACGTCTTATGTTGAAATGAGTCTGAGTCTAAGCTTGGTGCTCTTCTGGAACCCGCCGCCTGCCTTCTAGACCCCTGGGGAGCAGACCCCTGCCCCAGTAACCAGGGGAGTCTGTGTCTGCGGCTCTTGTGACAGTGGACCAGGCAGGGTTTGCAAACTATCAGATAGCATCTGCACCTCCCTCACCGCTGACGTCTGAGCTCTGCTCTTGACTTCTAGTAGGAAACAGTTCAGAATTTAAAATATTCCACATCCATTGAACTGTTCTTCAGATGATTCCCACGGGAGAATGTCAGCACCTTTTAGATTAGGAAATCAGGAAGAAGGACACTTCCTCGCTCAATTTCCCAAGCTGAAGTGGGGATCAAGCCCAGTTAACAGCCCCTGGGTCCTGCCAGTGGACTCGGCCCATGAGCCCTCTCTCGTCAGCTCCGAGGCCGCCCGCTGTTAACTTGCCCTGGGCTTTTACTGTGAAGTACCCGATGGGGTGAAAAATGAGCAGGGTCACTGGGTGAAGGCTCCATGCACAAAGGTGCTAGATGAAAGGTACTGGTGGTTTCTCCAAAGTGTGTTCCTTCCCATGAGGAGCTGCACATCTGCTTGTGTTGTGTTTAAGGCCTACACTCTGTGATTTAGCTAAACTGTGATCTTCGGCTTGTGGCTATTTAGTGTTTGGAGAAGCTGCCTCTCACCTGCAACAAGCAGTAACCCAGCATAAGTCCACCCAGGGACAGCCCAGCCACACTCGCTCCCTTACTTAAACTGCCTTTTAGTGGAGAACAGGATCCTGAACTGGTTCTGCTGACTGGTAGCTAGGATCAGAAGCAGATGGTGGCAAGGTGGCTGAAAAGCCTTGTCTTTGTATTTGCAAAACCTTTGATTCCTGTTGACTCCAAAGTGCCCCAAACTATTACAAACACAGTGGTTAAGGGCGCTCCCCCCCCCGCCCCCGACGCTTGCATAAATAGTTGATAGATTTCAGACATCGGAATAGCCATAGTCAGGCAATGGCACATGTTGGTACTTGAGTTCTGACCACCATCAACATTGCAATCACGGGCGTGATCCCAGACTCCCTGTGAAGCAGCGTTGAGCCAGTGTTAGGGAGACCATGTAGAACTCAGCGATGTGCTCGCACCTCCTGGATTCTGAATGTGAGTGGGCATCTCCTCACTGATCATCGAGACCTTTCTGATGACGTGCAGGGGCTGGGGCAGCGAGGCAGGGCTCGCCCATCGGTCTTCTGTGTGTGACAGCTTCTAACGTGTTTAATCATCCCATGAGCCGGGGAAAGTATTTGGTGATCATCATTTGGCCATGCCTCTCAGTGTTTTTCAAAACCTCCATTTCCATCGCCCCTTCCTACTCATCCTTATTTATTAATTTACTTTTGGATTTGGCCAGTGGTGCTCAATTCTGGCTGCATATAAGAATCATAGGTGAATTTTTAAAAACGACGTGTACCTGTGGTCCAGCCAAGGCCATCCTGACTCCGTGAGCCCAGAGCAGTGCCAAGGCATCCGCAATAAACAAACAAAAAAGCCAAAAAACACTTTGCAGGTGATTTTCTTCTCTATCTTCCAGTTCTACCTCTTCACGCTCATGTCTTCCTCTTCCTTCGAGAGCATACGGAGTACGTTTATAGTAGCTGGTTTAAGGTCCTTGCCTGCTAATTTCATCACCATCTCTTGTTTCTGTACTGTTTCTACTAACTGATTTTTCTCCTGGTTAAAGGGTGTATTTTCCAGCTTCTTTGCATATCTGGTAAGTAGCCCTGGTGGCACAGTGATTAAAGCTCTTGGCAACTAACTGAAAGGTCAGCAGTTCAAACCCACCAGCCGTTCCGCAGGAGAAAGATGTGGCAGTCTGCCTCTATAAAGATTACAGCCTTGATGGGGCAGTTCTACGCTGTCCTGTAAGGTCGCTATGAGTCGGACTCAAACTCGACGGCAGTGGGTTTTGCATATCTGGTAATTTTAAAAATAAATTGTGGATATGGTGAATTTTACATTTTTGGGGGTGTTTGATTTCACTGTATTCCTTTAAAGATATTGGACTTAGTTCTGGCATGAAGCTAAATCTCTAGAAAACAGTTTAATCCTTTCAAGGCTTGCCTTGAAGATTTGTTAGGGCAGGTCAAAGTGGATTTAGTCTAGGGTAGTGGTTCCCAAGTTGGAGTGATTTTGCCCTCCCATCGGGCAATATCTGGTTGTGACAACTTGGGGAGAGATGTTACTGGCATCTCGTAGGTAGAGGCCAGGGGTGCGAAACATTCTACGATGCAAGTATAGCCTCCCCACAGCAAAGAATTTATCCATCCCAACATGTCGGTCGCGTGGAGGCTGAGAAATCCTGGTTTAGGGATAATTTAGCCTCACTCTTAAGACCCGACCCTTCTGCGGACTCTACCTGATGTCCCACGTGGGACAAGATCTTCCCACACAGGCCCGCGGGGAGTCTGGCAGTTGCCAGGCCTGCTGCCTTCTGCTAGTTCTTTTCCTGGTTTTGGTAGTTTCCACTCAAGCACGTGCAGATCAGCATTCAGCCAAAGAATTGAGGAGACCCTCTGCAGGTTGCCAGGGCTTGCTTTCTTTGCAGTCCCTTCCTCTTCAATATTAGGCCCCACAAACTCTAGCTGCCTTCCCCTCTCTGGATCTTGATCTCTGACTCTTCAATGCCGTGAGCCCTTGGGCTCCGTTAAGTTTTCCCTTTCTAAGCTGCAACCTGGAAACCCCTTCGGGCAGGGACAATTGTAGGCTCAGCCCACCTGTTCCCCTCTCAGGGATCACACTCCTGCGTTTCCTGTTTCCAGTATCTGGAAGCCGTTGTTTCCCACCTTTTGCCTGGTTTCCTAGTGGTTTAAGGCCAGCAGGTCAATCTGACCTCTGTTACTCCTCACGGCCAGAAGCGGAAGTCTCCCCGGGTAGTTTTGATGTTCCACCAGGGTTGACGACTGTTTTCAAGTGGTTGAGGTGAGTCCCTAGGTCTTGTGAAATAAAGCACTCAAGTTTTAAGTGCTCGGACTTCAAGAGAACTTTATTCAGGGAATAAAGAGGTCACTGAGATCAAACAAGAGGAAAACAAACATTCCCTTTCTTCTCACAGTTATTAAAAGGTGCAGAACAATTTCTACCTCTTTCCAAACCAAACTGAAGAGATTTTGTCAGATCAAAGTCTTCAGAGTCTCTTTTCTTCTTGAAGTCCTGGCTTCCAAGCAATGTTTTTGCCTGGATATGGTAACCCTGGCTGCA